GCGGGGTCTGTCTGTCGTGCCACACACCCACCAATGACCCAGATTGACTTCATAGTCACATAGCCATTCACTCACTCTTCATCCATCCATCCAGTCAATGCTTACAAAGAAATCACTGCATGTTTATTACCAAGCCTGCCATGGCTCCCTCTTCTTACACATACTCAGTACATTATTCAGGGAGCTATTGGTGGGTAAGTCCCAATGGACATTCACCTTTCTCCACATCCCACTGGGCCTGTCCTCTCCACCCCATCTCTCTTCCCCCTCTCAGCCCCACACTTTCTCTACACTGAGAAATATCCTTTGGCAAATGTTGGCCTGAGTGTCAGAATCCCACAACCACCTCTCAACAGGTCCTCCATGTTCTCAGATTTGCTGAAGGTACAACAGAAAACCTGGATACAGGAAGCCCCATTATCTTAGTCTCTTCAGGATGCTGTTACAAAAGAACCATTATCTGGTTGGCTTATACACCACAAAAGTTGGTTGTTGACAGCTCTAGAGTTTAGGAAGTCAGGATCAAGGAGCCAGCTAATTTGGTATCTAGTTAGGACTTGTTCTCTGGCTCATAGTTGGAACTTTTCCTTTTGTGCTCATATCAAAGAAGGGACAAACAAACTCCCACAGGCCAAATTTGCAAAAGCATTATATTAATCTAACTCTTTTGCTAAAATAAATACCCAAATCTAGTACTTATAAAGAGAAGAGTTTTATTTAGCTCACAGTTTTAAAGGCTGAAAGACCAAGATTGGGTTCTGCCATCTGTTTGCCCTGAGAATGCCTCACAAAAAAGAAGTGAAGCTGGAAGGTAAATGGCCAACTGCAGAAGAAAGTTCACGGGATAGCCTTGCTTTATAACAATCCGCACCACGGCCTGGGAATGTAGTTCAGTGGTGCCACGCCTGCGTGGCAAGCACAAGGTCCTGAGTCAGATCCCCCATACCACACACACACACACACACACACACACACACACACACACAAACTCCATACCTATGTATTCCATGAGAACTGCATTAATCCCTCCCAAGAACAATGACACCAATTATTACCTCCCAATAGGCCTTACCTCCTGAAGATTCAACCAACTATTACCATAACAGACCAATGTGCTAGACCAAGGTTCTAGCACATGAACATTTGAGGTCAAATATCACCCATGTCAAAGCAGGCACAAATCTCAATCTACCATTGGCATTACGACAATCCATACATTCATTCATCTATATCCCAAAAAAGGTAACTGGCTCCATTCCTTGAGAAGCAGGACTAGACATGTCCATTGGCCCCTGAAATCTGGGTCAGTCAGGATGTGGTTTCTCAGCAATCTGTCTCCTGATGTTTGTCCCTAGACTCTGTGGTCTACATGATAACTGCACATCTGTGACAGGGCTTATCTGTGAGATCTTTCTTTGAAGTGGGATTAGGGAATCAAGAAGATGCAGATACATCTACAGAATATTCCTGACTCTGTATCCCTGAAGGCTTTTCCACCAGGAAGGTGTCTTCTTGTCTTTCAGAATTCCCCTTGCAACCTCCTGAGCCCTGGCCATCCCTACTGACCATGGGTGTCCACATAATTCATATTCCTTCTCACCTCAATGTTGTTCCTAAATTTTTCCCCTCCTAAAAACCCTCTCATACTTTATCTCCTTGTACATTGCACTCAATTTCCCCCTTTGTTTCCTCAAAGAATTTTTCTGTCTATCCTTAAGGAGCTTTATCTTTGGTCCAAGAGACCCTAAGATTTTCCTCCATTCCCTGCTTCTGACCAATCTGCCCTCCTGGAACACCATTTTTCCCAGGGGGAAAGCCCCCTCTTTTTTGCGGGGGAGACCGGGGATTGAACTCAGGTCCTTGGTTTGCAAGGCAGGCAGCAGAACCACTGAGCTAAATCCCAGGCCCCTCCCTCTTTTCTCATCCACTGCCTTTAATCTCAACTGCAGAGTGCTATGAATTTCAGGGTAAAAGATGAAAATTCCCATATTTCTTACCAAGGGACAAACAAGGATACCATTAAATATGAGCCACCAACTTGGAACAGGGATTTTGTTTTTTTAGTGATTGTATAGACTGCATCCCTACTAGCCATACATGAGGCATGAGTTACTCTGTACCTTCAATAAGATTTGTATTTATGGGTCTTAAATCTGATTACATTGAATAGGCGTGTAATGAGGTCTCTTTGCAGGTGTTTCCCTGGACTTTTAAACTCTGCTTCCATTTTTTTTCTGCCAATAGATAGATAGATATACATAAAAATAAACACATACACACAGATATGCTCCTAAGACTCTTCTTTCCTTCATTCTGTATTTTTGCTATAAATTTGGTCAACAAAAATACTAGGGGCCTCCCAATGATGGTACACTAGTACCATCAAAGGACAGGATATTGTTTTTACCACATCCTTGAAGTATTTATCAAGTTCCTGTGGCAAGCATGTCTCTGTTTTCAGTTCTTTAGATGTATTATATTTCCCCAAAGTGGAGCCCCAGTGTATTTTATAAGCATTCAATAATAATGTTTTTTCAGTACTTGGTATTGAACCTAGGCTCCTGCGCACAATGAGCAAGTGCTCTGCCACCAAGCCACACTCCCAGCCCTGTGTGGACAATTTACACACAATTAGTCACTTTTAAACCTACAGTTTAATAACTCTGAGTAAATGTGTAAGACATGCAACCCATCACCACATCAACTTTTAAAATGCTTCTTTCACTCCAAAACTTCCCTCATACTGCTTTGCAGCCCATCATGGCCCACTCCATTCCCTGACAACCACTTAGCTGTCTTCTATTGGTACACATTGCTTTTTTCTGTAACATCACATGAAAGGAATCTTTTGTGGCTGGATCAGTCACTTTGCATGTGTTTGAGGTCTGAATGTCATTTCTTTCTTTTTGTTCCAGAGCAGATTCCATGTAAGGATACACCACACATATCTACTTAGCTGATGCACATCTGAGTGACTTCCATGTTTGGCTTTTTCGGTTGTGGTGGTTTGTTTGTTTCAAAAGTGGGAATTGAACTCAGGGCTACATTGCCAATCCTTTTGTTTTCTGTTTTGAGCCAGGGTCTCCCTAAGTTGCCCAGGCTGAAGTTGAAATTGTGATCCTCTTGCTTCAGCCTCCCAGAGCACTGGGACTACAAATGTATGCCACCATACCCAGGTCTTGGCTACTTTTAATAAAGCTGCTCTGAACATTTCCATTTCCCTGCCTTTCTGTGAACACGTGCTCTCATTTCTTTAAGGTACAGACCTAAGAGGGAAATTGCTGAGTCAGTATGTGTGCCCTTTAAGGAAAATGCCAAATTGTCTTCCAAAATGATTATACAATTTGCAACCCCACCAGCCATACATGACAAGCCAATAAGACTTGGACTTACAGGTCTTAAATCTGATTGCATTGAATAGGTGTATAATGAGATCTCTTTGCAGATGTTTCCCTGGACTTTTAACCCTGCTTCCATCTTTTTCTGCATATAGACAGATTTATATAAAGAGAAACACATACACACAGATATACTCCTGAGACTCTTCTTTCCTTGCGTCTGAATTTTTACTATTAATTTGGTCAACGAAAGTGCCAAGGGCCTCCTAATGATGGTGAAGTAGTGCAGAGAACATAGGGAACTTCACCCCAGCAGTGGTGGACAGCAGCTCTGGATTAGGAAGAAGCACTGTGTTTTCCAGTTAACATAAGGAGCTTGGACAATGAACGTGAGCTGGGAGGAGCTGAGGACCTACAAATAAATCAGGTCAGAAAATTAGGCCCAGATAAAGCATCTACTGAGGCAGGGGCTGGGATCATGACTTGGGCACAGTGCCTTGGGTGACAGACATTGAGTCAGCACTAGGTCTTGCTGATAGGATGAGGGTTAAAGAGAGTAGCGGTCTCCACTTGCCGAGCTATCAGACCAAGTTAAATGCTCAATGCTCCTTCCATGGCACTGAGAAGTGTCCCACACAGCTCTGGGCTGAGAAACCCTGCAGGGCACTGGAATGTAGAGGCCAAGGCCATTTTCAGGGGCACCACAGGCCATCTGAGGTAAGCAAGACACCACTCCCTCTGGGTAGTCTGGCTGGGTGGGAGTGCCCAGACCCAGGCTGCTTCCCTCCACCCCTGCAGGCTCAGGATGCCTCAGAATATCCTCTCTATCCCTCTTTCTTTCCTGAGGACCGAGGGCTTGGGAGTTAGTTGTCAGTTCCCCAATGCCAGGCCAACACACCTTCAATTCATGTTTCTCCTGTTAATAATTGACTATGAACTTGAATTTATTCACACAATTATGACAGAACCTATAGAAATGCCAGTCACATGTGTGTTTTCAAAGGGAGGGGACCGAAGAGGATGTCAGACCATGGAATATAGGGATGAGAGATCTGAAGGGGACCCAGTCAGTCATGAGTCCAGAAGGCAAAGAAGAGGTTCAGGTGAAAGGCACAGTCACACTACCAGCCTTTGCCCAAACCCTTCCCTTCACACCCATCAAAGGTCAGTTCCATCTGGGCATGGTGGTACACTCCTATAATTCCAGCACTTGGGAAGCTGAGGCAGAGAATTACTGTAAATTCCAGGCCAGCCTGAGCTACATAGGGAGACTCTGTCTCAGAAAAAAGAAGAAAAGAGGTCAATTCCATTCCATCTGTAAGGATCCTCCTTCTGTATCTCCTCAGGCAGTCCTCCTGGGTTCTCTAATTACAGCCTCTTGACCCACAACAATTTCCTCCAACTTGTGACTGCAAAGTCAGTGGAACATAGTGACTCCAACTTTGAGGAGATGGTTCCTGGTATCTCCCAGGGACTGCAGAAGTCATTCAGTGTGTTAGGAGGAGGCCAAAGAGGTCAGGGCAGTGGGGAAGCAAGCATGCCCTAAATGCAGAGCTCTAGAAAACCTCTTCCTGTCTAGTATGTGTCTCCTGCATCTCTCGCTGTTTCCTGGTTTGCCTAATCCCTGCCTATGGGGTCCAAACTCCAACCTGGGCAAAGTCCTGCTCAGAGACTGCCTTAGGTAAAAGGCACAACAAAGCAGCAGTAGAAACAGATTTGTGAGCAGACAATGAGGATGGACCAACTTGTCGCACTGCTGAATGCCATAGCTGTGGGGCTTCTGCTTCTCCTTGCCCAAGGACAGGGTGAGATTCTTCAATGACTAACAGGACTCTGGGTCACATCTGCCAGAGGCAGAGCCTGAGATTTATGGGAGAGAATTTCTAGGGAGGGAGAAGCGGGTAGAGATGACAGATGACAATGTGGGAAATACGAGCCCATTCAACACCCCCACCCATGCTAGACACCCGAGGTAGGCACTCGAAACAGAGAGGGTCAGGGCTGCCAGAGGACACCCAACATGAAGTGCACAGCCAAGAAACAAGAATTGTGAGACTAGGCAGGTAAACAGCTTGGGCACAGGGCAAGTGGCCGTGGCATCTGGAAACTTTTCCTCCTGTGACTTGTGACAGGAACTGGTGCTTGTGACTTGTGAGTGGAACTGCTGATTTCCATGGCTGAGAACTATAGCTTGGCTTCCAGGAAAAGGTGACTTGCTCTGGGCACACTGGACAGTGTGTAGGCCCTTATCACAAGCTCAGACCAGGCAGGCATCATGCCTGGTTGTGTCCTTGGCCCTTAATGTTCTCAACGATATATTTCCTAGTGTGGGATGACCTGATATCTGAAGCTGCCTTTTCTCCAACTAGTCTGGCCAGGAGGAGCCACATTCACTGAGCCCTGTGGCCAATACTCTAGGGCCTTCTTCCCTTACCTGCCATTGTTCTGGCTCTTCAAGAACACCAGGACCTTCTAGGCAAGAAAATCTGCCTAGTCTTACTGATGGCTACATTTAAAATAGCATTTTGACTTGGACCCACATTTAGCAAGAGTATAAATTGTTCTTTGATATCTGTGGAGATTGTATCCAGGACTCCGAATACCCAAAATGGGTACCCAAATGGGCAGGTGCTCTAGCCCTTTATATAAAATGGTCAGGGCCAAGGATTTAGCTCAGTGGTTCTACTGCTTGCCTCGCAAGCGCAAGGACCTGAGCTTGATCCCTGGTACCTAAAAAAAAAAATAGGAGAAGTATTTGCATATAACCTAAGCAGCATGGTTATATGCTTTGAAAAAACACTAGATTATTTACAATGCCTACTACCAGGCAAGTGCTTTGTAAGTAGTTGTTGTACTGCATTGTTTAAAGAATAATGACAAGAAAAATGTCTATACATGGTCAGTACAAATCCAGGTTTTCTTCAGTGTTCTCAATCTTCATGGGAGATTCAATCAAGGGATACAGGGCTTACTAACATGAAGGACAACTATAATTGACAAGCCATAGGGGCTCAGATGGTGGGCACCACAGAGCCCTGGATTTCCCCAGGAGCCATCAAATTCCCCAGGGCCTTAATACAGTGCCCAGTAACACTTTGCTGGCTCAGCTTGGGCTTGGGCTGAGCCGGATGACTCGTGGTGTGTGAAAGATGGCATGGTGAGGGCTGGGGGATGTGATATGGGTGGAGCAATGTAGGGCTGAGGGAAACCCAGTACAGGAGTGCTGGAAATGGGGCAGCACAGGGATACGGCAGCAATCATGGTACAGCAATTAAGTGTCTGTAAGGTAAGGCACACGATGACCCAATGGGACTCAGGAGTGCAGAATGGAGCAGCTAGGTGCATAGCATGTGACATGAGGGCCAGTTCCAGTTCTGGGACTGAGAGGATGGCAGGTAGAGCAGGACCATTCCTAAGAGATCCCAGATCTAGAGAGCAACATGGGCCTGGTATGAAGCCCAGGGTGTGTTCACAGCTCCTCTCCCCTCTGTGGCTCCCCAGTATTGCAATTGCTGTGTTAAACTTGCCTATAAAGATGGTTTGAAAGAGCACCTGAACAGCAGGGATAGGAGAGAGCTATGGAGAGAGATCTGAAAGGTCCTGACCAAATTTCCAAGTATTTCTGAGGCAGCAGACCAAATGGAACATTTCAGTTTGCCCTGGGGTGAGGAGACCTTCCTCCAAAAATAGGGCTTCCCACCATGCTTAATGGGAGTAGCTACCACTCACCTCTGGCTTCCACAAGCGCGTACCTCTGCAGACTGATGGCCAAGAGCACCAAAGCCACAGAGGCTAATCATACCTTGTCTCTGAATTTGAGGTCCAAATCTGAGAAAAAAGGACTAGGATACAAGGCAATGGTGATGGCTTTGAGTAAGAGATATGATACACTGATGGAGCAGAGGGAAAAAAGACTACTTAGGGAGGCTGGTGCCAGAGGGCGAAAGGGTGATGACCAGGCAAGGTGGCTCTAGGGAAAGGGATGCCTGAGCAAGGCATTGGGGAAGCATAAGTCCTATAGGGCTGGAAGGCTGTGTGCTTTGGGAAAAAAAGGCTTTTGAGAGGTGAGGACAGAAATGGCTGTGGTGACACTGGCTAGGATTTACAGGGTGACTGGTTCACTCTGCCTTCCCTGACTGTCCCTTTAGGGCTTTCTACCAGGGGTCCCATGTGGCTGAACTTTTAATGGTGCCTCATGTGTTGACTCCATAATGCAGTGCCATAAACATGCTACCGTGCCAAAAGAAAAAGAAATATTTTATATATATAATAAAATATGTAATGTATATAAATATATATAATAATTTTAAACGTATGATATATTTTATATTTATATATACATATGTTTTTAAAACTGGAGATTGAACTCTGGACCTTGTGCTTGCCAGGCAGGCAGTAGAACCACTAAGATAAATCCCCAGCTGGTTTTAACATATTCACAGAATTCACAAGCTCAGTTTCCCCTTCCTGAACACAGTCCCTAACCTCGCACCAGACACACACCAATCTCTTCCATGTGTCGATGGTTTGTGAATTCGAGGCTTGTCATACAAACAAAATCATGAAAGTAATGGAAGCAAGGGGAACAATGTGATAGGCTGAAAAGAGTGTGAAAGCCATGTTTGCAGAAAAGTCTCTTGACAAGGCTGTCTGAGGTTGGCAAGGAGGTAGCAACACCCACAGCGGGAGGCAGCTGACTGTGCAGACCAAACACTGATGTGCATTTTCCTCCCATAGCTCAGGACTCTGCCGGCCCCATCCGGACCACACTCACAGGACAGGTGCAGGGCAGCCTCGTCCATGTGAAGGGCACCGACGTAAGGGTCCACACCTTCCTGGGAATTCCCTTTGCCAAACCACCTGTAGGACCACTGCGGTTTGCACCCCCTGAGGCCCCTGAACCCTGGAGTGGTGTGAGGGATGGGACCTCCCACCCTCCCAGGTAAACTTTCCTGGTTGCCTGGAGATATTCAGGCCCTGGGGAGAAGTTGGGTGCTCTGAGCTCTGGGCCAGGGTGCAGCAGTTCTGCCAACTCCTCAGCTAGTTTTTCTGTCTGGGAGATTTTCATGATGAACATGCTAAGGCTCCAGAGGGTGAAGGAAGAATAACAGGTATCTCTCCCAGCACTTGGGAGGCTGAGGCAGGAGGGTTGCCTTGAGTTGGAGGTTAGCCTGGGCCACATAGTGAGATCCTGTCTCAAAAAAAAAAAAGGTACCTGGCTCAGAGTTTGACACCCAGAAGGTAGTAGTTCCAGGTGTTGAAGATATGAGCAGAGACATTTATCCCCAGATTCAGGTTATGCTATGTGTTCTCTGCCATCAAGGAAGGTGTTTCTGGGAGAGGTTCAGGCTGGCTCTATGATCCTGTAAGAGGCCAGGACTCCAGGAGCAGATACTGCAGATTCCTGAGAAGGGCACAGTTGTGGCTCCTAGGGTATGCCACCTCCACAGTCACTGTGCCAACCAACAGATCCCTATGTCATTGGCCAAGAAACTGGAGACAGTGTTAAAACTGAGGTTCCTGGAGAGTCTAGACTTGGAATGAGGAACATCCAGCTGCATCTGTGGGAAACTGCCTCCATTCACCTATGCAACACTTGTGTGAGAGCTCAGCCCCTATTCCAGCCGAAAATGAGTAGAGGAATAAATGATTAACATCAATACCTTCAACCAAAGGTTCCCAAAGAACTCCGAAGAGTCACAATATCCCAGCCTCATCAGGAATAGGGTCTGAGGCCCTCAACAACCTTGAGATCCCTCTGAAAGTCTGGGCTCCATCCCAGCTGGTCTCTGCCTTGTGCCATGGTGGCCAGGGACTTGAGAGGACTATGTGTGCACAGGGAATCTTGGGGAGAAAGGACTGAGGGTGGATAGGAACAAATCTGCACCCAAAGTCTGGTTTTGCCCACTATATAGGCCCTGAACTAACTGTTGCCATTGTCATCAGATGTCTACAAAATACTGATAGAATGAGTACATTAGTACTGAACCTCTTGAATTTTTCCCAACCCACCACCCCTGTGTCTGAAGACTGCCTTTACCTCAACATCTACACACCTGCTCATGCCCACGAGGACTCTAACCTGCCTGTGAGTATCAGGCCATTGTTAGCTGGGAGTGGGAGGATATTTAATCTGAAAAATTAGAAGGGCCAAGATCAGCCTGGGTCCTGCTGCAATGTGGACCATGACGAGAAGTCTCTCACTATCAGGTGGGCATCTGGCCCTTGGATATGGAAACACAGAGGCCTAGTTTCTTCCAGAGGTCAGAGTCTGTGACCATTGAGTGGACCTAGGACTCACTCAACTAACTTGTGTACAGGAGACCCACTTGGTGCCCAAAGATTGCACTTTGAGGTCACCAAAGACTTCAACCAATGATTATCTGTTGAGCAAAAAAGAACAGAAGATCCTTAAGATTATGTGAGGATTTCAGGGAGACACACCTTTTATTTCCACATCTGAGGAGGTCTAGAAATAAGGGAGTGAGGTTTTGAGACATTAAGCTCATTCCAAATGCCTTTCTAACCTAAGTCCCTCACTCATAGCCCAGATCATAGCACCTTGTGGGGCTATATGTGTGTGTGTGTGTGTGTGTGTGTAGCTTCACAGAGACTAATCAATGTGTAGTCTACAGGTGGGGCTTGGTCTAGTGGGAGCCACAAGGTATCTGTCTTGATCTCCCCAGGTAATGGTATGGATCCATGGTGGTGGACTAGTTGTAGGCACAGCTTCCAAATATGATGGTTCCATGCTGGCAGCCTTTGAGAGTGTTGTTGTGGTCACTATCCAGTATCGCCTAGGTATTCTGGGCTTCTTCAGGTAAACCTAGGGCTAAGCTGGGAAAGGGAGACTGAGTAGAACTAGGACAGGGATGTGACCCCTGTCCCTGCTACTTTTCAGTACTGGAGACCACCACGCCGCTGGCAATTGGGGCTACTTGGACCAAGTGGCTGCTCTACGTTGGGTACAGCAGAATATCGCCCACTTTGGAGGCAACCCTGACCGTGTCACCATTTTTGGCTCATCATCAGGTGGCACATGTGTGTCCTCCCATGTGTTGTCCCCCATGTCCCAAGGACTCTTCCATGGTGCCATCATGGAGAGTGGGGTGGCTTTACTGTCCCCCCTCATCTCCAACTCATCAGAGCCCATCTGCACAGTGAGTGCCTTCAACCACCCGAACCCAGGCTCCCTCCCTCTTTCTTCATCTTCAGACCTTCTGGTTCCTCTCTGTTCAGCAGGGACAGCAAGGACAGTTGAGGTGCCCTTGACGCTTTTGTGTGGCAGGCAAAACTGCTCCCCAGGGCACCCACCATGCACAGAACCATGTAGCAGGAGAAATGGCTTCTCTGGCTTAGATCCCTAAGTATCAAAGACATCAAAACTTTCACACCTGCATTAAATCACACAGGGTATCCTGTGAGATTAGGGTACAGATCCACCTAGATGGGGCTTTTGGCACACTCCTCTCTCTAGTTGGAAGGATGAGCCAACCCCTGCATGATCCCTTTACAGATGGTGGCCAACCTGTCTGGCTGTGGGCAGATAGACTCAGAGGCCCTGGTGAGATGCCTGCGGGGCAAGAGTGAAGAGGAGATTCTGACTATAACAAAGGTTGGGCTGAATGATCTTGAGTGGGCATAATAGTATATGGGGCAGGAAGGCCTGAGTGCCCTTCAAACTCCCAGGAGAATATGCTCTCCACGCCATGATGTTCGATAGTCCTGGTGTGAACTGCAGACTAACTCATGTAGTTAGTGCCTAGGCATGGGACCTAATTAGGGTGGGTATTTGGGGATAAGACAGGAAGGAGTATAAGACACCCAAAGGAAATCAGAAATTTTCTAGATCCTGACCTTGCTTCCTGACATGCATTTTACCCTCAGACCTTCAATATCATCCCTGCTGTAGTGGATGGTGCCTTTCTGCCCAGGCACCCGAAAGAGCTGCTGGCCTCTGCTGATTTTCAACCGGTTCCCAGCATCATTGGTATCAACAATGATGAGTATGGCTGGAACATCCCTATGGTGAGGTCCATTCTACACCCCAGGTCTGAGAAACTATGAAAGGATGGTTGATTTCAGGGCTCCAGGCTCATCTACCCCCAATTCAAAATTATTCCCTCACTGTCCAGGTCTCTGGGATTACTGACCCCCAGAAGGAAATGGACAGAGAGACCTTGAAAGCTACTCTGCACAAGTTCTCAGTACAGAGGGTGAGGCTCCTGGTGTCCTGCCCCAGTGGATAGGGACCACTTAGATATTCTGGCATGTAGCCACCCCCATGAACAAAGGCTGAACTATGTGTTTGGGGATCATCCCAGGGCTTGATCATTTCCTGCATTCTCAGGCCCATCTCCCCACCCTCAGGCAGCCCTATCCTGCCCCAGAGATGCGTGACCTGATCCCTCTGACCCCCCTGGTGCAGATCTTGCCCACCGACTCTATTGACCTTGTGATAGAGGAGTACATGGGAGACAACGATGACAGCCAGAATCTTCAAGTCCAATTCCAGGAAATAGTGGGAGATATCATCCTTGTGATCCCTATATTCCAAGAAGCACAGTTTCAGAGTAAGTACATCTATTACTGAGGCTTGACTGCCTTTGGGGGCAGCTCAGAGCTTTGGGTCTAGGGTGAAGTCTCTTATCTCCATCTCCTGACTCATGTCAACAAACTTTTAAGGAAATATTTTCAATGTCTCTTATCTCAGTAAACTATGTCTAGGCTCAGAGACTGACATCTAACCATTTTACAGTTGAGATAACTGAGTTAGTGACACTCAATTACTTGGTCACCACACAACCAGGAAGGCCAAGGCCAAGAGTCAGCCAAGGCCATTCCTATAGTCCCTGTTCTAGCCTGAAGTTTCTCATCCCATTGTTCAGAATCCAACCAGCTTTGTTTGTTGTTGTTGTTGTTTGTTTGTTTGTTTGTTTGTTGAGACAGGGTCTCACTATGTAGTTGAGTCTGAACTGGAACTCACTATGTAGCCCAGGTTGGTCTCCAACTCACAGGGATCCTCCTGCCTCAGCTTCCCGAGTGCTGGGATTACAGGTGTGCGTCACCATGCCTGGCCAGAATCCAACCAGCTTTGAACCTAGTCATCTTGTCAACAAAAATGAGGCAAAATAGTTCCAGGTAAGGGTTACCACATCACAGCCTGTCATGTCCCCAGGTTCCCGTGGCCCTGTCTACTTCTATGAGTTCCAGCATCCACCCAACTTCCTCAAGAATATCAGGCCGCCCCATGTGAAGGCTGACCATGGTGATGAGGTTTTCTTTGTCTTTGGACCCTCCTTCTGGGGTAATCAAAGTGAGTCTGCTTGGGCCACAGCTGGGTCCCTGAGGGGTGACTGTCCTCCTTGTCCAGTTGAGGAAACTAAAACTCAAAGAGAAGACAGGTGCAGGTGTCCACCATATTAAAATTTAAGTCTATTCCAGGATTAGAACCTGAACCCTTCCACTGGAGCCTGTGCTCCTTCTGCCTGTCCCCACTGCAACTATGGTGTACATCTTGGTACTCAGGGTTGGGAGACGTCTAAAGGCACATTTAAATCTTGAATGACTTCCCAGTGTCAGAAGGAGGAAGGAGCCTTCTGGGTGAGGAATGAGCCCGGCTAGAGACCGGAATGAGTAAAAGCAGGCTGGGAAAGAGGATGGCATATATCCTCAGGTGGTTTAGGAGGGTAGGGACCAGATGTGGGCTCCTGGGTCAGGCTGAAGCAGGATGTGAAACTGGCACATGAATGGGAAGTGAGATGAGCAGAATGCGGTCAGGCCGGGACCTGGGCCCTTGTCCTCTTCCGCTTTGCAGTTGAATTCAATGAGGAAGAGGAGCTGCTGAGCAGGAAAATGATGAAGTATTGGGCCAACTTTGCTCGAAATGGGTGAGAGGATGCCCCCTACCTCACCCTTTCTGGGATTTGTGAGCCTATCAGGTGCTCCTCTTATCTGTGGGGGTCTCATTAGAATACAGTAAGTCCCCAACTTACAAGCGAGTTCAGTTCTGGGGGAATTGTTCATAAGCTGACAAAGTGAGTCTTATGCATTACACCTGTGAAAGTTCACAACTCAAATATTCATAAGTCAGGAACTTACTATATATGTGTCCATCACAAAATAGTGCCCTCCCTCAACCAAGGACAGTCAGAGGGCACTTGTGGGTACTGGTCACTGGGGCTCATCTCCCAATAACCCTAGAGGGTAGGCCGAAGCCCTGAGGTTCATTCACAGTCTGTCTCTGAGAAGTAGAGACAAAAGAGATCAAATTGCCCTATGCCATATAGAGGGGATACTGGTAGGAGGTCCTTGCTTTCCTATATCAGCAAACGAACCTCCTCCACATAACCCAGACTCCCCTGACTACCTGGCCTGACCCAATCAGGGCACTGAAGACTGGGGTCTGCAGAACTCAGAGTAGTCTCCCCTGTGCTCCACTGGGAGCACATGTCTACAGGAACCCTAATGGTGAGGGCCTCCCCCACTGGCCTGTGTTGGACCACGAAGAGCTGTACCTACAGCTAGACATCCAACCTGCTGTGGGCCATGCCGTGAAGGCCTTCAGGCTGAAGTTCTGGATGGAGACCCTGCCCCAGAAGATCCAGGAGCTGAAGAGGGCTGAGGAGAAGCACACAGAGCTGTAGCTCCCTGTGTGGGGATGGAGAATAGGACTGAGAGAAAATGGTGTCTGCCTGGAACATCCCATACACCCTGAAGGGCATGGCTTTACCCCATGGACATACAACCATTCATCTATTCTCCCTCCAGCCAGCCAGACAGTGCCTATGAAGAACCCATTGCAAATGTCTATTACCAAGCTTGCCACAGATTCCCTCCTGTTAGAAACACTCACTACATTGCCAGGGAGCTGGGGATGGGTAAGTCCTAATGGACACCCACTTTCTTCCATACCTCACTGGCTTGGACCCCCTCCTCACCTCCTCACCTCTTCTGCTCACACTCTCTCCTCTTCTCCCAGCCCTACCTCCTCTCCACTTTGAGAAATGCACTTTGGCAAGCACTGCTATATGTGGGTGTCAGAAGCCCACATCCACCTCTCAGCAAGACCCCATGTTCTCAGATCTGTAAGAGGCCAAGAGAAATCTGGGCCCCAGAAACCCCAGAGTCTTAGTCTGTTCAGGGTGCTCTCAGTTTTGGAAGCTGCAAAATCCAGTAAGTAGCCAGGTGATCTGGGGGTCTGGTGAGGGTTTACTCTGGGTTCTTCTACGTCACATTGTCACTATTTCCTAGTATAGCAGAAGGGATGATCAAGCTTTCTCTGGCCTCTTTTATATGGGAACCAGTCCAGTTCTCTTCCAAATGCTCCCCTCCTTAATACTGTCACACCAAAGGCTTGTTTTCTATATGTAAATATGAAGGTTGTAAACCTTCACCCCACCACGCTTAATGTTCCCAGATCTTAATCAGTGAGGCTACAACTAATAAACATGTGAGTCTTCCACCTCTTGCGCTTGAAGATTAAATGTCATTCATGTTAATGCATGAAACAATCCACTCACTCATCTCTCTGTGTTCCAAGGAGGTGTGTAACAATCAAGAGTGGAACCTGGACCCTGGACCCTGGAACTTGGGCCAGCTGGAGTATGTCCAGTTTCACAGTCTCTTTGGTGGTGGATCTCCTGAAGTTTGCTCTTTTTCTCATGGTTTTCAAATGCTATGAGGCCTACAATTGTACAGTCAGGGCACATTTGTGAAGGGCTTTTGTCTCTGGAGTGTATCCTAGAAATGGGACTGGGGAGTCAAGAAGGTCCAGGCATATCTATCAGAAGACATTCCTGTCCCCTGGCTCCTTTGAGGGCTTTCTCATTAGAGGAGGTGTCCTGTGCCTTTCAGAATTCCCCTCATAGACTCCTGGGCTCCCAACCATCCCCTACTTACCACGGGTCTCTGGGTGACTCGTTTTCCTTCTTAGCTCATTGTTGTCTCTAAATATTTTTGGCCCCTGTTATGGTTTGGATCTAGATGTTCCCCCCAAAGCCTCATGCAGTGGCTGAATCTAGAGTGTGTGATGCTGGGACTAAGGGTGTATGATTACTAAACCAGTCCACTGATTGGTTTGAAACCACCCTAATGCTGGTAGTCTGAATAAGATAAACGGGTGAGAAAGACACTGTTCTCTTGTGCTTTTGTTGTCTTCTGCCACCATGAACTGATGTCCCTCTGCCACCCTGCCTTGGAGCCAGCCAATTATGGACTGAAACTTCTACTAAAGTGAACTAAATAAACCTTTCCCCTTTAACTTTGGGTATTGTGTATTTTGTCTTAGCAGTGAGACAAAAATACTAACACAGCCCCTCTCACGTGTCATGTGTTTTATCCATTGTCCAAAGGTGTCAAAATATGCTCAACCTGCCTCTTTGTCCTCTGTCATTCAGAGGTGGTATCATTTATCCCATTGACCCTGGAATCCCTCAAATTCCCATGTCTCTGACCAGTTTGTCCTCCTGGGGCATCAGTGCTTCCAGGGAGAGTGACCCCTTCTTTCCTCAATTGCATTTATCTTAACTACAGAGACTCTAAGCCTTTGGGTTAAATGATGAGTACTGTCTTGTTGCCCACCCTGGACAAGGGACAGGTGAAGGCTAAGGGCCTTTGTGCACAGGGTAGAGGCCTTTTTTTAAGGCACACTGTGCACACTTCCACTGAGACAAGAGACAAGAAAACATTATACAGCTCCTGAGGCAGACATGCCTTTCCAATGAGCTACATCCCCTGCCTTTTTTTTTTTTTTCAGACAGGATTTGTTTAAGTCACTAAATTACTAAATTTCCCAAGCTGGGCTAAAATTTACAGTCTCCCTGCCTCAGGCCCCCAGAATGCTGCAATTACTAGTGTGTGCTGCCATCTTCAGGACTGCCTCTTTTAATAAAGCTACACTGAACATTTTCTGACACGTCTTTGTGTGTACACATGCTTTCATTTCCCTGAGAGTAAAGACCTGAGAGGGACTGTTGAATCATATGGTAAGTGTGTGTTTACCTTTTAAAGAGAATGTCAAACTGTCTTCCAAAATGACCATACAATTTGCATCCCTACTGATCAGGCATGAAGGTGACACCTGACCCATATCCTCCCCAGTACTCGGATTTATGTCTCTTAAATATGATTCTATTGAATGACTTTAAAGTTAAGATCTCATTGTAGATTTTTCCCTGGCCTTTTTACCTCTGTTTCCATTCTTCTCATGTCCTTCTCTCTCTCTCTCTCTCTCTCTCTCTCCCCCACTTCTGATTTTCTGACAGGTTATCATTCTGTTTTCCAGGCTGACCTTAAACTTATTATGTAGCCCAGGCTGGTACTCAATTTGCTGTTCCAAGTTCTTGAATCACATGTGTGAGGGACCTGGCTGAAAAACATGAGCTGACAGCATGCTGACCTGGCAGTGAGAACCTGGCAGCCAAATCCCAGGTTCCTCAGGGAAGGAAGAGCGGTCACAAGGAGATGCTGAGGCACCCTGACCCCTGCAGAGGTGGAGGGAAGCAGGGGTCTAAAGGCACCCAGCCTGACTACCCAGAAGAAGAGGTGCCATGCTCACCTCAGACAGCCTGTAGTGCTCCTGAAAATGGCCTTGACCTCTACATTCCAGTGCTACACAGGGTCTCTCAGTCCAGAGCTGTCCGGGTCCCTTCCCTGTGCCTTTAAAGGATCAATGATCATTTAACTGGGTCTGGGTGGCCAGCACATTGAGACTACTGCCCTTCTTAACCCTCATCCAGTCAGCAAACCCTGTTATTGAGTCAATGTCTGTCATCCAAGTCATGGTCCCAGTCCCTGCTTGGGCAGATGCTCTCTCTGCTTCTAATTGTTTTAACCTGACTAATAGCTGAGTTGTTGGTGCTGAGAGATGTCCAGCTCCCCAATTAAAATTTTCTACTCTGTTCTCAGGACCCTCCTTCAGCCCATGTGTGCAGGGACAGTAGACATAACAACTCCAGGTTTGAGGAGAGAGTTCGTGGTATGTTGGAGATTAGATTCCAAGAAGTCAGAAATTACATAGCAGCTATGAGCACAGCCATGCCAGGGTCTCCAGGAGACAGACCACCCACCTCCTTCCTTTCTGCTGTGGGATACCTATATCCTTAAACTTTTTCCAGCAACCTGTTAAAACATGATGGGCTAATATGAAGTTCTAGTCACGCAGATATATTCATTACCCAGGGAGATCAAAAAGGTATATTGGAAATCAGTACTAAAATGGCATCCAGATTTTTAAAACTCCTGAGCATAAAGAAGCAGTCAAGAGAAAATTCAAACAAGTAACTGAGGAATATGAAATGTTATCAAATGCCTTTAAAAAAGCATATCTATGACAAATATGGCAGAGAAGGAGTAAATGGTAGTAGAGGAGGAGGAGGTCATTTTTGACAGTCTGCAACCCAGATAATGTTTTAGGGAATTTTTTGGTGAAAAGAGCATATTTTTATCCAAGTTCTTTGAAGATCAGTTTTGAGGATTTTTTTTTTTAGGAACTGAAGGGGTCCCTAAGGAAGTGGAAGCCATGGTGCTAACTTGTAGTTCATGAGCCATAAGGGACTCCAGGAAAGAGGAGTACACCTAGCCCTAGCTTTCCCACAGGGAACATCAAATTCTCCAGGACCTTACATAAATAGGGCCCAGTAAGACTTCTGTGGTTTTTACTGTTGTCACAGAATTCATAATCTCAATGCCCCTTTCCTGAAACATAGGCTCAAACTTTAGCTCTAGACACCCACTAATCTGCTTTATTTATCATATAAATAGAATCATGGTGAGATTCATGGTATAGAGTGATAGGGTAGTAAGAATGTAGGAAGGGTAGGAAGTGAAAGAAACTGGCACCTGCCAAGGATCACTCCACACACCGACAGAGATCCTATGAGAGATCTTTATTAAAGAGCCGAGGCAGCATGGTGGCCCACTCCACGGAAAGAGAACAAGGGGAGAGGAATGGAAACGGGCTTGGTTATATATTGGGTGACTGGTGTAAGTGGGTCGGGGATTGCGTCAGCTGCAAGGGCAGCCACTCAGGGGCCACTCTTGGACATTTATATTCTATGCAGACAAGCCTTGTTTGTGTGCCAGTCTCATGACGGGTGACACGTGAGGTAGGAAGTGGAAACTAAGGCGAAGAAGAAAGTTATTATCGGAATGGTGGCAGCTGTTTCAAGGCACTTATAGGAAGTGTTTGCAAATCAGAGTCTCCTGACAAGGCTGATTGAGGATGGCAAGGAAGTGCCAATACCCACAGTATGGAAGGCAGCTGACTGGGCAGACCCAATCCTTATGTGCATCTCTCTGCCCACAGCCCTGGACCACACACACAGGGGAGGTACAAGGCAGCTTCATCCATGTGAAGGGCACCCACGTAAGGGTCCACACCTTCCTGGGAATTCCCTTTGCCAAATCACATGGAGGACCACTGCAGCTTGTACCTCCTAAGGCCCCTGAACCCTGGAGTGGTGTGAGGGATGGGACCTCCCACTCTGCTACCTAAGCTCTTTGGGAACTGGGGAAACTCAGGTACTGGGGAGGAGTCAGGTGCTCTGAGCTCTGGGCCAGGCTGAAATAGTTCTGCCATCTAAATCCTGTAGCCAGTTTCTCCTGTTTTGGGTGTATTCCCACAATGAGAACACTGAGAATTGAGAGGCATGGAGGAACGGTGACAGGCACCTGGCTCAGGGCTGGTCACCCAAAGGGCATTAGCTTCAGGTGCTGAAAATAGAAGCAGAGACACATTTGTCCCCAGATTTGGATCATGCCACATGTTCTCTACCACCAGGGGAAGTGTCTCTGGGAGAGGGTCAAGTTGGCTCTACAAATCTGTCAGATGCCCTGACTCCAGCAGTAGATACTGCAGGTGCCAGTGGAGGGAATCTGTGGTGGCTGCTTTGAGAACCAAGGAGGTTTGGGAGCTGTCATAGAGATGAGGCCCCTGGAGAGTCTAGGGAACAAGTGATGACTGCCAACATCTGCAGGTAATGGTTCCCATAGAGACTCCTAAGAGTGACAATTTTCCACCTTAAGGAGGAGTGGGATCCAAGGCCCTCAGCAGCCTTAAGCCCTCCCAGAAGTCTGGGCTCTACCTCAACTTCCCCCAGAATGTGCAATGTGTGTCTTGGTGACCAGGACTAAAGAGAAGGGTCAGGTGCAGGGAATAAGGGAGAGCTGATCCAGAGTGGCTAGGGGCAAATCTGGACTCAGAGTCTGGTTTTGACCATTAGACAGCCCTTAGACTGACTGTTGTCATCATTACCAGGTGTCTACAAAATATTTACAGTGATAGGAAAAACTTTTATAAATACCAAAACCCTATAAAATGTTACAATGTAAAGTAGCTTCTGATGTCCCTAACAGCAGTTTGTTTTGTTTAGCTCAAAACTAGCACGCACGAAGGCACTAAATGCTGAATGAGGCATTTGGTCTCACCCTGAGATAACAGGGCACGTCAAGGTCTTGAGCTCTGATGAAACTGGAACCACATGATCATAAAAGTGTCTAAATGAAAGAACCCATTGCTAACATTTATTCCCCTGACCCTACACACCCCTCTTTACTATGGGCTAGAATAGATAACTAGGCAAATCTTAAAGGTAAACTCCCCAACGGCAAAGAACTGTGACATCTGGGTTGAGAAGATTAACTATCCTGTGACGGTGATTTGAACTGTAAGAATGAAATGTAACCGCCCAAATGAAGTTAAGGCTGTGAAACCCTATAAAAGGAGGAGTTGTAACCCAGTGCGTCATCAATATGGGCACGGCTTATGTATGATTGACCCTTATCAATGAGTAAATTTGTTATTTTACTTCCATTCTGCTGCCTCTCTGTGTGTCACTTACTGATTCCTTCTGTAACAATAGAATGAATATATTGGCAGTGAATGTCTTGAATCTG